GAGATGGATATGTGTATAGAGAGAAGGTGGGGGAGGGGGGAGAGAGACAGAGAATTTGTTGTTGGAACGGAATGATAGAAGAAGAGAGGATAGTAAACAGAGTGGGGTTGAGGAGAGGAGAGGAGAGGAGAGGAGAAGGCTTGTATGGGTGGGTGGGTGGATGGATGGGTGGATAAATGGATGGAATATAGGGTAGGGTAGGGAGGGGATGTGTTTTGGGAGTCCGTTATTGTGTGTGTGTGCGTATGTCTATGGAATTTTAACAGCGGAGGTAGAATACGAGATTGGCTTGGACTTTGAAGTCTTTTTGTTCGGTGGGGAAGGGGAAGGGAGGGGAGGGGGACCGAGTGTGGAAGACGGTGGGTGTACAGCGAGCGCTATTGCAGAGGTATGAAATATAAATTTGGTGTAAGGACTGGGTTGAAGGTAAAATAATTGAAGGTAGAGAGACAGCTGGAAAATAGAGGATGATTGGTGGGAGAGGTAGAATTTATTTCATTGTTCTAAACCCCATAGGCACTTTGCACCAGTGTGACCCTCCGTACATGTATCTCCGAAACTCCTCAAGACCCAACACAGGTACCCAGGATTCTCCGTTCCGAGTAAGGATCCTGCAACGTTGTTAGCTACTAGTCGTGCTAAATATTCAAGCTGACAGGTAGAGTATTGGAGGCTTGCTCAGAGTCTAATTAAAAGTCCTCAAGGGGAATAGGACAGGGATAACTTGTATATCATCATGGTAGAGAGAGTGTGTTAACCGGCAGAGAATAGATGGTACGTACTGTGTGATAGTCCTGAGGCTAAAGTTGATCTGTGGGTTAGTTAGGCCTCTGAGGCCATAGAAGAGCCCCAATAACGCGCAAAGCAGCATGACCAAAGGAAAAGAAGAGGTTGCAGGTAAGCCAGAGCGTGAGGACAACATGTGAATAATCCGGACGCTGAGACTGGGACGAGTAGTCGAACTCTCATTAAGAGAAGTTGACTTCTGTCAGATGAAAGGGCAGGCGACAGCCCGACTCGTAGGAAAATGCGCGGGAGAATCGAGGAAGGAAACAAAATTTTCGGTTCGGACGAGAAGTAATCCTTTCGGTGCCTCAGAAATGGTCATGCTGTCCTTCATCGCTTTCTCAAAAGAGAAAACTGGGCCTCTTCCTATATTGATTGAGATCGTATCTCATCGTCATCATGGGCATTTGTAGTGAGTAGGAGAAGAAGAGAGGCTTGTGGATTGAGGGAGCGACAAAATTTATAGCACAAGACACTATTCTCTAAAAGTACTAGCGTTGGTGGCTGGCTAGCGCGGTCATCCGGCTGAATTCATTCCTGGAACGCGACAAACTACCTCCCGCCTTCGCTCCCAAACCTGCAGTTCTGACATCCCAAAGCAAGGCGGCACCGCGATCAATCCGATAAATTGGTAGAGCTCATCAACCTGTTTCTACAACCAGCGAGACCTCAAAGTACCGCCAACCTCGCGCTCGTTACCAAACCAACTTTGCGACTATGAGCGACTACGGAGGCGACGATGAGATCAAGAAGCTCAATGCCGAAGTTGTACGTTGCTTCGGAATCTGCCATGTTTCTCCTGATGCTTACACCTTTTTCTCTAGCTCGAGGACCCCGACAACTTTGAGCACTGGGAGAAACTTGTTCGCGCCGCGGAAGCTCTCGAAGGCGGACTAAACCGAAATTCAAGCCCGCAAGCCATTGCAACAACGCGCAGTGCCTACGATCGATTCCTCGCAAAGTTTCCTCTGCTATTTGGATATTGGAAGAAATATGCCGACCTGGAGTTCTCCATTGCTGGTACAGAGGCTGCTGAGATGGTATGGCTGTGTCCCTGCATAATGATATACCAACCCGGGTGCTGACCGTCTACCAGGTCTACGAACGAGGAGTCGCAAGCATCGCAACCTCGGTGGATCTGTGGACCGACTACTGCTCGTTCAAGGTCGAAACGAGCCATGATCCAGACGTGATCAGAGAGTAAGTATAACTGGACTCTTTCCTTCCCTTTTAACACAGACATCTGCCATGCGTCGCATGCTGCGCAATGATCGCACACACACACACAAAATACATTTGGAGAAACATTAATACAGGGTCGCAGACGGTGAGAACTGCCAAAGAGTCTCTCCCTGTTTGATACTCTTCTCACCCACATGATCAGGATATTTTCTTCTGCTATCACACGTTCGCATTTTACATCGTACCACTTTGCACAAGTATTCGGCCAGGACGGAAAATGAGGATCACTAGTTCAAGCCCACCTGCCCTTCCCGTATTTGCCATCCTTGCCACCTGAACTCCCTTCTGCTCCCCCATTGGAAACCCAGCTAACACTGCGTGATAGGCTCTTCGAGCGAGGTGCTTCTTGCGTTGGATTGGACTTCCTCTCGCATCCCTTCTGGGATAAATACCTAGAATTCGAGGATCGGGTAGAGGCGCAAGACAAAGACTTCAAGATTTTTACAATCTTGAGTCGTGTCATCGAGGTTCCTATGCATCAATATGCGCGCTACTTCGAGAAGTTCCGTCAACTCGCTCATGCCCGCCCTGTTACCGAGCTTGTTCCAGCCGACGTCCTGAGCCGACTCCGTACAGAGGTAGAATCAGAGAACGCTGCGACTTACCAAGCGGGGACTCAAGGCATCTCGGAGATGGAGGTTGAGCGCGAGTTGCGGACCAAGATCGACAACTTCTACCTCGAAACCTTCACCAAGACTCAAACAGAGACCACCAAACGCTGGACCTACGAGTCAGAGATCAAGAGACCCTACTTTCACGTCACCGAGCTTGACTACGCTCAGCTTGCCAACTGGAGAAAATACCTGGACTTTGAGGAGGCAGAAGGTGACTTCAACCGGTCGGTATTCTTGTACGAGAGATGCCTCATCACTTGCGCATTCTACGACGAGTTCTGGTTCCGCTACGCCCGGTGGATGTCTGCCCAGGAAGGGAAGCAAGAGGAGGTCCGGAACATCTACCAGCGAGCCAGCACCATCTACGTGCCAATTGTCAGACCTGGCATTAGGCTGCAATATGCGTACTTTGAAGAGATGTCTGACCGCTCGGATGTTGCTCGTGATATCCACGAAGCTATCCTGGACCGCATCCCGGGTCATGTCGAGACGATCATTTCTTGGGCCAACCTTGAACGCCGCCAACACGGGCTCGAAGCTTCGATTCAAGTCTACAAGGCGCAGATCGACAACCCTGTGGTCGACCTCTTCGCGAAGGCTGCATTTGTGGTGGAGTGGGCTATTCTCCTCTGGAAGATTAAGGGATCCGTGGAAGAGGCCCGCCAAGTCTTCCAAAAGAACCAGCAATGGTATCTCCAAAGTCGCCACTTCTGGGCCAAGTACCTCGAGTTTGAGATTGCTCAACCAACGAGCACCGAGACAGAGGCGGAGCATTACACCATCATCAAGCAGATCCATGATGATCTGATTAAGACTACTGGCATGAACCTCTCCACGAGGAAGGAGCTTACCAACATCTACTTCAGCTACTTGCATCAACGCGGCACGAAAGATGCCATGAAGGAATTTCTGCAAATTGACAGAGAGCTCAATGGGTAAGCCGCGTCTGAAGTGCACATTCCAACAAGATACTGACGTGTGAACAGCCCTCTCTCCGTCCAAGGACACTACGCCAAACCCAACGCCCTCACCAAAGGCCTAGAGAACGGCCACATGGTCCCAATCGTCGACGAAGTCACCCTCCGCAAGGGAGAAGTCCGTTATAGTAACTATTTCGAAGAGCGCCGCGATGTGCCTGCAAACGCGCAAGGTACTGCCCCTTTTGCTTGAGATACCCCACTTCTTACGACTTCCCCCTCCACGTCTTTGCGGGTGTTTCTCTGGTTCGGGTGACGGCTTGTACCATAGTAATCTTATCCTTTTTACGCTGCCTTTGCCTCCTTTTCAAGATCAGCTCTGGTAGTGGAGGATGGAAGGGGCATGGGGGAGGTGGTTAGCGCACGGGGGGAGGAGATATGTATGTTGGAGTTGCTGTACCTGTAATTAGCTTTGCCTTTTTCTGAGATGGCGATTTGATGCGTATGTCGCCTGTTCGATTCCCCATCTGGCCCAGCGGCACTTTTAGTAGAACAAAATGAAGAGAGAACGAAACCCAACCGGATCTTGCTTGGAACGTGAACGTGAACGCGAGCCAGGAACCGGGAGCAATGCGTCTTAGTGTGAGTCAAACTCGCTCTCTCTCTCTCTCTCAACCCAACCCAACTATCCCACCAACCATCTCACCAACTAACCACCCAACTCACCACCCAACTCACCAACCCCCAAATAAGCAGGTACCGACCCCTTAGACGAGCAGGCAAGCAAGCAAGCAAAATCAATCCCCCATTATTCTTTCCTAGTTTTTTCCTCTTTTTTTTTTTATTCCTTGTTGCCTTATTGTTGGCTTGTTAGCTTGTTAGCTTGTTAGCTTGTTGCTTTCTTTCTTTTCTTTTCTTTTCTTTTCTTTTCTTTTCTTTTCTTTTCTTTTCTTTTCTTTTCTTTTCTTTTCTTTTCTTTTTCTTTTCTTCTTCCCTTTTTCCACCTCCCCCAAACTCATTTTCTTCTTCTTACTTTTTTTTAAAAAAAAATAAAAAATAAAAAAGAAACTCGCCCCCTTCCTCCCAAGACTGAAGACTGAAGATGTAGGATAGGAGAGGATGGGATAACACGATGACAGTGATAATGACGGTGAGCGGTGACGGTGAGCGGTGACGGGGGCGGTTCTGAGCGGGTGAGGGGGGGGGGGGGGGGGTTTCTGGGGGTCTCTTGGTGTAAATAGATGGGTAGAGATACCTTACATAGATAGATACATAGATACAAATACCAATACACATAAATACAGTAAGGTACACAGATAGGTTTCTCCAAGTGAGTAATCCCGTCCAAGGATAAATCAACAGATAAGCAACAGTCAAGTTCGGCGACCCTCTCTTTGACCCTTTCTTTTTTATCTTTCTACCGTTTTACGTGGTTGTTTGGTTGTTCGGTTGTTGTTATCGTTATCGTTATCGTATTGATCCACGTCGGGCGGGTAGGTATCCGAAACGCAAGGCTTGGGACCTTGGAGACCTCTTCTTACAAGGTCCGGCGACGTGCCGAGGAGAGGAATGAATATATATATACCAAGTACGATCTCATCGAGAGTCGAAACCACGTGGAGGAAAACAAACCAACCTCTCGTCAAATAGCTAGCTGAACACTCGTACACCCCTGAAAAGCAATCTATGATACTGTGCGTCGACTTTTCTCTCTTCTCGATAACGAGGTATCGACTACGGATGGCCCGACGGGCGGCCTCGATCCGTATAGTACCAACATCGTTCGCAGCCCGTGGATAGAGCCGGTGTGTGTGCAGAAGGCTCTTGCGGAGGCGCGATACCGTGTTTTCGATCCATCGAACTAAGCCCTTCCCATCCCATCCCATCTCTGATACACGTTCCCCCTCTATCGCAAATCCTCCTGGTCGTTTCAGTCGGTATGCCCGTCAGGTATATATAGATCGTAGTCGGCGTGGTATTCGAGAAGAAGGAAGAGGGAGGTGCGGAATCGCCGGTAAAGGAGAATCTTCGAAGAGACGTCGCATATCGATGATTCAATTTCGGCTCTCCAGACTCTTGTTCTCTCTTGCTACCGCAAGAGAAAGAAAGAAAAAGAGCTGAAGGTTCGTAAGGGGCACCTCGTACAGGTAAAGAATCGTATCCAGAAGGATGTTGACTGCCGAGTGGGAGTTTGAAAGTTAGTAGTTACCTAGGTATATATATATATATGTGTGTGTGTACGCTTTGCATCTCCTCTCTCCTCTCTCCTCTCCTCTCCTCTCCTCTCCTCTCCTCTCCTCTCCTCTCCTCTCCTCTCCTCTCCTCTCCTCTCCCTCTCCTCTCGAGAAAGAGAAAGAGAAAGAGAAAAGAGAAAGAGAAAGAGATCGAGAAAGACAAAGAGAAAAGAACACAGGAGTCATCTCAATACGTGGGAGCTTAGGATGCAGCAGCGGTGGGAGAGAAGGAGAGAGGGGGAGGAAAAAAGGGAGCCAGAGTACATTCATATGAGCGCGATAAATTCATCTTGATCGATTAATTGATTCATTGATTCTCACATCATCTCTCATATCATATCGACGCCCTAGAGCCTCGACTACATGCGTGCGTCGTAGACCTCCTAGCCATCCAAAATGACCGATCTGCCATTGGCATCCACCTACATGCATCCCCCCTCGCCAGGTGTTCGTCCATGCTCCCAGCCGGAGAAAATCCATCCAGCGAAAATGCTAACAAGCAATGCAGCTCAGCCAAGGCTCAAACTCAAACCAACTCCATACCGCTCAGATCCCATGCATGAAAAATCCGGCAAGATTGCCCCCTGGTTCGACTACTAATCGTACAATTACTTACTTGACGAGCCCTCTCCGCTCTCTCACAATTTGTGTTGTTCTGTACTGTTCTTCCACTCCACCCCACCGAGGAAATCACCAAGTGCGTGATGCAAAACACATGAACACAAAACACCACAACCGAGTCAAGAAGCAAGAATCTGAAAGGACGATCCGGGTATAACCTCCTCAAGTACGCTTATTGAAAGTACGTGCCGCTGGACTCGGGCAGTGGCCGCTGCTGAAGAAAAAAAAACAATTAAGAGTCGGAAGTGTGAAAATGCAGAAAGGTAGCGCCCAACGCATGTAACTATGCGGCCGTGAAATTATGTCGCGGCCAATGGCGTGCTATTATACATTGGCGTGCGCGTGTCGTGGAAGGGTGAAAGAAGGTATTGGTGACTCATTAATAATCATTGTATCGATCGATCGTAGGTGGCTCTGGCGCCTGGCCAGGTCGTTCAACGTCCTTACGCGTGGCCCAAGTTGTGGTAGGACGTTACAGATTCTGGCGCGAAAGCGAAAGACATAGAGGTGTCCGTCCCTCACTCGAAGAAAGCCAAGACCTGACGTGGTCTGTTGGATTACACTTCCTCATTCGAAAGCATCAGTGGAGAGCTGCCTACGAGAAGTCGTCTCTCATCTTGCTATTGCTCTGCTTCCGCGGTCCCAGCCCCATGCCGCCCATGTTCATCCCAAACATGCTGCTTTCGCGCCTCTTGGACTTGCTGCCTTGGAAATCGGAGCCATACTGCTGTTGCTGTCGGCTGTAGCCTGAGCTACTAGCGAATTGATCGTAGGATGGCCCGGCGAGAGTTTGCGGCTGCTGCGGCGTTCTGCCATATTCAGGGCCGGCCATGGTTGGGGCGCCCCCGAGTGATTCGTACGTAGCCTGGAGAGGTGTAAGGCCAGTATCGTAGTTCAGGCGTGGTGATTGCTGGTAGTGCTGAGGCTGTGGGAATCCGGGCTGGGATTTGGGAAATGGTTGCTGGTCGGAGGATGGAGTCGGCAGAGGAGCAGTCACAGTGGGTTCCACGGGTCCGTCGCGATCATCGGCTTCGTCTCCAAAGATGCCGTCGTATTGTTGCAAGAACAACGCGAAGACCGGAGCAGGGATATTGAGTGTGGGAGAGAAGACGATACCCACGTTGCGGACAGTCATCTTGTTGATGTCGGCGTTATTGATGATATTGATCAAGAAGCTGGCGAGATATCGAAGCAATGCGTTGTTGGCCCGTGGAAGTCGGTGGACAAGCCCTCTCAGGGCGCTGATTTTCTCCTTGACAGCGCGCAGTTCCGTGACGCCGACGAAGTCGAGATGGAGTTCTCTGGTCAAGATCGTGTTCGGCAGCTCTCGAAGGTACAGCTTGAGCAGCGAAGCGATAGCATGGATGTCGTAGTATTGATCTTCCGCGACGAGGTTGACATCTCCTTCGACATTGAAGCGTTCCCTCAACTGCTTGATGAGGACGTTGGATCCGCTCAACCTAAAGATACCTTCCTCTCCCGCAGCATTCTTGGCATCGAGGTATTCGATGCATCGGTAAACTACAGCCGGAAGCTCGATGTTAACATCGACTGGGTGGTTGTATCGCACCGCCTCCCCGAGAGGAGAGCCAAACACAGGTCGGATTGGCCCATGCTGATCGTACATCAGCTGCGAGAGATTGCTGCTCGAGTCGTTCGCCCCGTTATCATCGTCCGAGGCCCGAGGCTTCGATCCGAACCCGAAGAAGCTACGTTTCTTTTGCTTGACGTCTGACACAGGCCCGAGCGTGTTCTGCGGTCTGTTGCCCCAAGTGGAAGTGTCCTGGATGACTTGCGCGTTCTTCGGCGCCGAAATGGTCTTCATCGACTGCGAGTGCGGAACCTGGGCCATGGGATCCTTCTCATATCCATACGTCGGTGGCGAAGGGGTCTCCGAATTCTTCGGTCGCGCTCCGGACGGAGCCTGGCCCTGCTTCATGTTCTCATAACCGACGCCCCGCAGACCCTCTTCAGTGAGATTTGGAAGTGTCTGGCTTCTCCCTGGGCCAGCATACATCTTCTTCTTGGGCTTTACGCTGATATGTGCCGACCCGCGCGACTCCGTGCGATCATGCTGCTTCACGGTTGGACCGTAGTCATCGTCTCCTTCTTCCTTGTAATCAACATAGAGCAGGAGTGCCTCGACCCATTGATCCCGCTCCTGGTCACTCTCAGCGCAGAGAACATGTCTGACAAGACTGGACGAGTCCTTCCGCTTTGGCTCGAGGATCAGGAAGGCGTGGCGATACTGATTGTCGACATCTTCAGCGTCCGCCCGAGGCGGCGAAGTATTTTCGGCTTGCTGTTGCTGCTTGCCAATCTGAGCATGCTGCAGCTTGATCACACCCAAATGAGGTCCACCGGGAGAATCATAGTACTTGAAAACTGGGCCGTCCAGGACGAAGTATCGAGCCTTCCAGCCACCAAAATTCTTCCCTCTCTTCGTCAAGTAACCGTTCTTCAGAGGCCTACCCCCTGGTCCAGTCTTTAACGGGCTTTCGCTGGAGGGGTTACCACCAGGTATCATGTCGTCCGAATTTGGGGCCATGGTGTTTGTCGACAGGTATTTACAGATCTGCAATGCTGGTGCCGTGTCCATTCGCGTATCCAGTATCTCCTCGAGGTATCTATCTAATGCCGTTCGGCGCGCATCTACCTTCGCAGGTGCATGGCCCGTGAACAATGATCGATCCGGGGTCTTGGCAGTGAAATTATTCGATTGCTTCAGACTCTGATCCAGGTTGGCGAGGGACGATGAGTCCTTCTCCACCCTCCACAGTTCTCGGCCATCTGATCGGGCAAAGACTGCCAGTGTAAAGACTGGGTCTTCCTCCACATTGCGTGGAAACATGATACTAGCTCTTGAAGGCTTGAGGCGCGAGGATGCCACCTTGACGTGAATTGAAGGTAGGGCATTCGGCGGAAGCAACAGGTCAGGATACTCTTCAGTAACCAATCCTCTGTATATTGAGTTTGAGTCCGGACTTTGTTGAACAGGTGCAGGCCGATCCGGGGGGCTTGGATTCCCGCTCTTCTTGGTGACCACCAGAGGTTGAGGGGAGACGAGTACCAGAGGAGTGCCTCTCGGCGATTCTGGAGATCCAATCGACGACATTGGCGTGCTCGGCGGTAGTGGAATCGGTTGTCTGGGAGCTCTAGGTGACAAGGGAACCGCGCCTGGGAACGCGGCCACTCCTCGAGGAGACACTGGGGGGGAGTTGACGGTAGAAGACGGGTTAGACATGGATCGAGGGATTGAAGAGTTCATCGGCCTATCTACAGGTCGTGGACTCGAAGGCAACCCAGGGCTGAGCATTGGTGGAGCAATCAGGACCGACTCGTGACTTGTTAGTATGCCAGCCAGAGAGCCTGCGTTAGACTCGTGAGGAGACAAGTGGCGCCTGTGGGCACCCGGCGGCGAAATTTGGACAGTCAGTCGAGTGCTCGTGGGCATTGGGTCGGCCACATTTGCGAATGGGCCGTTTTTAGGAGTCACTGGCCGGGACTTCGACGTGCTCTCCCCGCTGTCCCTGGATAGACTTCTGATCTCCGCATCCTTCGCGGACGCAATCTCTCGTTCCCTATCATCTTCCTCTCTCGTCTTCCGGCGGCCTCGCTCAGTGAAAGCAGGCAGTTCATCGACGTCCAGGATGTCATCGTAATCAGAATCTGTTTCATCCCCAGCACCAGAAGAAGCCTGGCGCAAAAGGGGGCTGGTATCGGTCTTCTTACCCAGATCCAAAGGCGTCGGGGGTGCTTTTCTGGGCGGGGTTGGAAACGATTTCCGACCATCATCTGAATTCGGGGACGATTTAGTCGATTTTACAGGAAACCCTTGACTGGCGGGGGGTGTCCTTGGCGGCGGTACACTCGGTGGTGGTCCTCTCGGAGGGTCGGAAGCCATACTCCTAGATGGTGGTAGGGACGCACTATATGGTACATCTCTGGCCACTTCGTTTGCCATTCTCTGTTGCGGGCCAGCGTCGAACCCTGGACCCAGGGCATCTGGACTGTATTGTTGAAGAGCATTTTCCGTGGGGGGTGGCATCTTGTGGTCGGCTTCCACCATGTTCTGCACCGCTGGCGTCTGTATTTTCAATGTAGGAGGGGTGAGGGGATGTGAAGCCAAGACCACATCGATCGGCGAAGGTGGCTGGTCCGGTTGCTGGTCTCTCAGCCTGGCAGAGACGACGGCTTCCACATCACCCGCCTCCACCTCTGCTGATCTCGTGTCTGAAGCAATCGAGTCGGCTTCTGACCCCGATCCCTGGGTTGAGTCCACCGGGGAGGGATTCGAAATTGGTGCCAGACTCTCCTTCAGCTTCTTCCGGTACCGCTCCTTGTCCCTCAGTGCTCGCTCGAGATCCTTGTTGAGACCCAAGATCATTGCGCGTTGTTTGTCCACCAAGCGCCATAATTGCGAATTCTGTGATGTCTGCGACGCCTTCTCCTTCAACAGATATTGAATCACGGCTTCCGAGGACCCAGCTGCCTGTATAAGATTCGCAATGTCCAGAGACCCAGCTTGGAAATCTTGCGAGCCTGACTTGGAGTGTCCACCAGAGATCGAGGATACCGCCGAGTCGATCGACGTCGTCCGAGGAAGAGGTCCTCGAGCCATGTCGCCACGGGGTGCTGGACTCGACGCCATGGCTGTTCGCACACCTGGAGGGGGACCTCCTGAAGGCTTGGAGACTATGACCGGATCGGAAACGCTCCGCGAGGGACCATTCGTACCGTGTGAGGCGTGAGGATTGCTAGGCCGCGTTGTGAGTAGGCGAAGGAACGCATCATTGGATCGTGTAACTGTCTACCTACCTGCGTCTATCCCGCTCGGAACTCGATTCGACTGAGGAGTCTTTTGACCTGTAGAAGCTCTGCTCGGAGGCCAAGAGGTCGTCCAGACGCTCTTTCGGTGATAAAGGAGATGTGTATGAGTGATCGCCGGCGCTTCGAGCAAAAGTGGTTTTTGTTGGAGTGACGCTGCTCGGCGGCGAAGTAGCAGTTGTACTGATCTGGAGAGGACTAGGGGCAGCCTTGCGCAAAGACCTACAGATAAGAATTCCAAGTGTTAGCAATTGCAGGGCATCTTTCACTTCGATGTGCTCGGGGCGCTCGGGGGTGTGGGGGGGGGGGGGGGAGTGGCGTCAGGGTTCGGTAGGTACTAGATTAAACTGCGGCCCCGCGCTGGCCTAAAAAAAAAACACACACCTGCTCGTCGGCTCTGACCCGGGCGATGCGTTGTTTGGAGAGTAGGCGTATGAGGGTGATGTTGTGGGGATGTCTTGAGGGGAGAGTCGCAGTTGGGGTTGGGATTGGTGGTGTTGAGGTTGAGGGAGGTGTGGGTTGGCATCGTTCTGTTGCGACATGGCCCACTGTCTGGAGTGTCTGGACTGGGACTGGGACTGGGACTGGGACTGGGACTGGGACTGGGACGCTGCTTCAGACTGCTGGACTGGAGACTGGAGGCTAGAGACTGGGAGACTGGAGACTGGAGACTGGAGACTGGAATAGGACGAGACAGGGCGAGACGGCGCCGGCACCAATGAATGGGCTGCGAGGGCAGACCAGCGTGCCTACGTTGGTTGTAGAGCGGCTCGTTCGGTGGGCGCCGAGGGGGAGTTTCGAAATGCCTGGTTGCGGTGTGATGGGCGTCGCACCTTCGCAGCAAGCACCGAGAGACAGGATTACACAGCCCACCGAGTCATGGTGGTGATGCTTGTACGTACGGTACGCAAGTCCGGACAGTTTGGAGGCCAGCCAAGCGACGGGGGAAATGCAGTTCGCTGAGGCGCGAGATGATCTGACGAGAGGGCCCGAACGAGGCTATCACAAGTATAATATAGTGAAGTAAGTAAAAGTAAGTAAGTAGTATGAAGGAGAAGAAGCAGAGGAGGGCGGAGGGCGGAGGGCGGAGGGCGGAGGGTGGAGGGTGGAGGGTGGAGGGACAAGGGCGAAGGGCGAAGGGAGAAGGGGAGGAGAAGCAATGAATGAATGCAATATCCGCGAGGCTGTCTGTCTGCCGAAGGCCTCGGCTAGCTGTCAATCAAATCAACCCGAAACTTATTTATCTGATCCAAGGAAACCTTTACCTTTCGGGCGGTTGTGTACGGTACACCGACCCTACGCACCAACCGACTACTACCGGTACTATCTACGAGCTACGAGCTACCTGAGGAGTAGGTATCTCCGTATCCTTTCCTGTCTCTATTTGACTACACACCTCCCTATCCATCTGCTCCAGTACACAAGTGCCCAACGACCTTCCTTCCATGCATGCACGAAGCGAGGAGGCATCTGACGGCATGATCTCTGTGTATCCAGATGTCCAGAGATCCAAATCCAAATCCAAAAATATAAGAATATAAGAATCCGAAAATCCACATATGCAACAATACAAAAATAGCCGACCTCGCTGGCTGAGATTACACGAGCGCCGAGTAAGACCAGAGAGGAGGAGAGGCGGCGGCGGCCTGCTGCAGCAGTTGCTGCAGGTACTCGGAATGCCTGACAACTCCGTGACCAGACTCGCTTGCTGCGCTGTACGGAGGATGTACGGCGCAGTCCTCTTCAATTCCATCACCACCACTCACTCTCCCGGGCGCGAGAGGTGATTAGGTACCACTCCGCTCTCTCCACTGGCGTGCTTGCCGGTCGGATAGCTCTGGCTCGTCAGGTAGGTCAGGTCTATATACATATATGTATAATATGTATAATATGTATAATATGTATAATATGTATAATATGTATAATATGTATAATATGTATAATATATGTAATATATGTAATATATGTAATATATGTAATATATGTTATATATATCGGTGGGTCGTTTGCGCGCGTATACAGTATTAGCGAGGACGGGGGCGGGATCGAAAAGACGGAGGAAAGGAAGAATGCGTCCGTCCCCGGTGCGACAAGGCCGTCCCCAAGAATCGGCAAGAGGAGGGGCGGCTCTCCAGGGGGCATCTAAGACATATGTAGTATGTACGTAGTATGTACGTAGTATGTACTGTAGTATCTATATCTGGCTTGGCCTGGCCTGGCACTCGACTGCAATCGTAGTCCGGGCTCTACGGAGCATCTACCGGTAGACAGTACTTATACGTACGTGGTATAGTACGTTGTACCTAGACCTACCTACCTACCTACCTACCTAACCTTTGGCTAACTTACCAGCTCGGAATCAAGCATCGCATCGCATCGCATCGCATCGCATGACACCGCATGACATCGCAGCCGTTCATGCCCCGCCTTCCCCCCCCGGAAGCTTATTATTAGGATGCAGTGCAGGCAGGCAGGCAGGCAGGCAGGCTGGCAGGCTGGCTGGCTGGCACCTGCCGAGTCGGCGTCAACCCCGGGCAGCCAACCCCGGTCCGCCAACCTGTCGTCATTGGCCTCCGGCACCAGTCCCGATCCGACCAAGCGCCGTGGCTGCTGGAGCTGAGGGCCCGTCTTCACCCGCACGCCGCACGGGAGACGGGTTCGTTTGAGGCAGAGATTATCGAGGTAATTTTAAAAAAAAGAAGGGAGCGCCCGCTTTTTCTGACCCCTCTCCACTTCTCCGGAATTTAGGCTCGCGGCTCGCCCAGCAGAGGAGGGTAAGTGGTATTACTTCGTACCTACTACAAGGAGAGTGCACCGCCTCTACCTGCGTGAAGCAGGATTGGATCGGATGGAACGGTCTGAAACGTTGGCCCCGGGTAGCAGCAGCAGCAGCAGCAATAGCCGCCGCCGTAAATATACTACGTAGATGATTTGGGATGAGAGACGTTCGGGTTCGGAAGCAGTTTGGGAATCAAGTTTCACAGTTTGGCTTTTCTGCGCGACAGTACAGTACGGACTGTAGTAGTCAGTAGGCTGCAAGTAGTAGTAGTAGTAGGCTGTAGTACCTACCTACTACCCCCTTGACCCCTATCCCTGGAATTCTACCGTACTGTAATAGTAGTATAAGAGATGCGCACTGACTACGACGGAGATAGGTTAAATTTGATTCGCGCCACTCTCCTTGGCAGCCGAAGCCATCCATCTACTCTGGACAGCTAGGAAGTATAACTACCTGTATCAACCTCTCTCGGTCACCGGGGATAGAGCCTCGCAATGTCTCCAAGTCCGAAAGAAAAACAACGACAAGGACCAAGAGATAGAGAGACTTGACGCTCTTATCCATTGTTTCGTTCAAATATTCCTCGCTTCCCTGCCTTCGGAAAACGGACACTGAAAAAAAAAAAAAAAAAAAAAACCCTTCAAAAGAAACAGGTCCCCGTCCATAAAGTGGGGAAACGGAGAAGGGTCCTCTCTGCATAGCCATACAGTACAGTAGGTAGGTAGCCATAGCCAAAGTCAAAGTCAAAGCCAGAGCCGAAGCCAAAAGCCCACCCGATGACGATCACAATCAAAGAGCCTTTACAGCTTCCGTCCCCCAATCAAGTAGCGTACACACACACACACAAATATAGTAAGTAGTATACACATACATATATCTATATATTACAAAACAACCATGAAACACCAACCAAAAACGGCAATCAAAAAACTCCTCTGCCGACCGGTACCAGAGAGAGAGAGAGAGGGTACCTAAATCCAAACACAGAGCTCTATACGGTACCGCTACTCAGCATCGAAACGCTCACCGCTTAAATCAAAAACACCGCCTAAATTAAAAAAGAGACTCTTTGATACGTAGGTAGGTAGTAGTAGTATAACGCTATCGAGGTCGCCAAGCCTCCCATATAGACATGCGCGGGAAGGAGAGGCCAGCCTGCCAGCCAGCCAGCCCGCCAGCCCGCCTGCCCGCCTGCCCGCCTGCCACCGCGACTAGCGCTCTACTACCGGTACCTACCTACCGCTACGTACCTACCTACTGTAGAACAACCAACCCGTCACGGGACACAAGTACCGGTAGCAAATCCACATCCCGCCCCTCCGCAAGTACTACCGTACCGGACTTGTACATTTACTACGTAGCAAGCAGCCCACGCTTCCACTGAGGCCGTCGTATATCAAACTCCTCAAATCAGGCAGCAGACAGCAAACAAACGCCCCCCTCCTCTCCTTCAGAAAAAAAAAAAAAAAAAAAAAAAAAAAAAAAAAAAACCAAACACTACCAACTACC